TTCTCCTGCCTCAGCCTCCTGAGTAGCTGGGATTACAGGTGCCCACCACCACACCCAGCTAATTTTTGTATTTTTAGTAGAGACGGGGCTTTCACCATATTGACCAGGCTGGTCTCAAACTCCTGGCCTCAGGTAATTCACCCACCCCAGCTTCCCAAAGTGCTGGGCTTACAGGCATGAGCCACCTCGACTGGACTTTCTATTTTTTTTTAACTCCCGAATAATTTAAATTTTTTCTTTAACTTCAATTTTTGGTAGATATGAGGTCTCGCTAGTTGCCTAGGCTTATCTTGAACTCCTAGGCTAGAGGGTCCTCCTGCCTCAGCCTCCTAAAGTGCTGGGATTACAGGTGTGAGTCACTGCACCTGGCCTCAAAATAATGTTAAATGTGGCTGGGCGCAGTGGCTTACACGTGTAATCCTAGTACTTTGGGAGGCCGAGGTGGGTGGATTGCCCGAGCTCAGGAGATTGAGACCAGCCTGGGACACACGGTGAAACCCCATCTCTACTAAAAATACAAAAAATTAGCCAGGTGTGGTCATGTGCGCCTGTAATCCCAACCACTTGGGAGGCTGAGACAGGAGAATCACTTGAACCAGGAGGCGGAGGTTGCAGTGAGCCGAGATGGCAGCATTGCACTTCAGCCTGGGCCACAGAGCAAGACTCTTATCTCAAAAAAAAAAAAAACCCACCAAAAAATGTTAAATGCATAAAGCAGGACTGATAAATCAGTAAAGTATAGTTAACCAAAACTATAACACAAACCTAATTTGTGACATGATTATACAATTAACAAAATATTAAAGGCCTAATTTGTAATATGGTAATGTGTGTGTGTGTTTTGAGCCAGTCTCTGTTGCCAAGGCTGGGAGTGCAGTGTTGCATCTGTAGTTCACTGCAGCCTCAAACTCCTGGCCTCAAGTGATCCTCCTACCTCGGCCTCCCAAAGTGCTGGTATTACAGGTGTGAGCCCTGCTCCCTGCATGTGTGTTTTATTAATAGCAACAAAAAAGATCTAAGTGCAGGTCTGATTACTGTAATTTTGTTTTTTGGCTTTTTTTTTTTTCTCTT